GTCACATACCGATTGATTTCCCCATACTTCTTGCTGGCACTCGTCGTGGGCAGACTCTGGAGACTGGGCTTGCTGATGTACTCGTTGCTCTCCTCGCTGCTCTGGCCCAGAGAGAGGCCGGCTAGTAGCAGTATGTCCAGGTCGTCGGTGGGGTCCTCTTGGGCCGCTCCATTCTTCAGCAGCATCGAGGCCCTTCGCTTGCGTCGCATCCTCATCCCAGACTTGCCCGACTCTTTGCAGTCGCTGCGATAGCCACAGCTCTTGGCCCGACTGCGGCGACTCATGCAGCTCTTGGTGCTGTAGCGACTCTTGCAGCTGGCATCGGACTTGTACCCGGAGTTGTGGTTGTGGGAGCTCTTCTGGTGCCGCACACTGCCGTAGTCCGAGACATAACCGCTTTTGGCGGCCAGAATCTTGCTGCATATTGTGGTGCTGGCACCTCCCGCGCCGCTAGCCGCACCCGCACCCACACTCACGCTGCGCAGCCTGAACTTTTTGTTCACATCGATCTCCCGCCACAGAGGGTCCAGCTGCAGCTCTTCCTTGTTCGTGCTAGAGCTGGGTTTCTTGTTGTTCTGCCGGCGCTTGTTCCTGGGCGACGGATACAGGACTCGCTCTGTCGCATACATTCGCTTGTCCAAATAGGCCATATCGATCTTGGGCTTGTTGCTGGTCGCAGCGGCTGGCGCTCCGGCTGTGCCAGACGGCACAATATTCTCAGTTTGCATTTTGGGCGAGGGCGTGGTACTCTGTGTGGTGCTGGTGGTGCTTATGACACCCGAGTCGGCCGATTCATTGATGGCAGGACCAGAGCTTCGAGATGGCGGCACCACTACTGGCGTTTTCTTGGGCCTACCGCGACGCTTGCGGGGAACGTTTGCCAGCAGTTGGGTTTCCTCTTTCGCTTTTGGCAGCTGCTTCTCCGTCAACTTTGAGTTTCCGGTCTGGCCCAGCATCTGGGTCTTTTCCATGAAGTCCTGCAGCAAGGTGGATTGGTATTGGGGCAGATTCTTCGATTTGGCAGCCTTTCGAAAGCTGCCCTCGACGGTGGTGTCCTCGGTGTCGCTCTCCACTCGCTTGATGGCCGCCTGCACCAGATTGGGCAGATCATTGTCGCTCGAAGAGATGCCAATGTCGAGAGGTTTGCTGGCGGACTGGGCTGCCTGGCTTATGGCCGTCAGCAGGAGACGGGGGGCACGCTGCTGGTGAACCTTCAGTGGTAGATCATCCTCAGAGTCCGAGGAGAAGGCAGAAAGCATCCCTTTCTTTGACTTTGCAGTGTGTTCTGCGTGTTGCTGGGTTTTGTTATGTGTGCTGCTGCTGCCGCTGGTAATTTTCTTGCGCTTCACTTTGATTTTTTTGCTAGCTGCTTTATTTTTAGCCTCTGAGCAGCCGGATTCCGTGTCCTGGGTGGACATCTTTCTAGACTTTAAGGGATTCTTGCAAATGACGCTCTGATGATCCTTTCGACTGGGGGCTGTGCCTGGGGCTGGGGCTGGCGCTGGGGCTGGGGCTGGAACTGATGCTATTTTTGATGATGCGGGTACCAGGGGGCGAATGGCTGAGATTCTCATGCGCAGTCCATCTGTGTCCGAACGTTGCACGACACTGAACTGTGTGGCTGATTTCGCAGACTTCGATTGGCTCGATTGATCCGTAATGGAGTCAGTTTCCTGTAAATTCCAAGGTTACTTAAACATTGATGCACTAATACGGATTACGGATTATGGATATGCACTTGCCTCATTTTCACTGCCGGATTCTTGTGTACGTTGCGTTTCCAGAACCTTTGCTGCTGCTGATGTCTCATTTTGGCCACTGCTCATATTTTGGTGTCGCGTAGAAGCTGCAAGATGGGAAGTGCGACGATTAGCTGCGGCCACAAACGAGAGATGTTTTTCGACAATGCCTTAAATTTAATCGCATTTAAAGTAGGTCACACCGTAGGCGCTGTGTTGTGGGACAGCGGGACGCGCGGGCGGTAGGCCGTCGTCGGAGGGCCCCCGCGCCAACCAACACCAACTCTTTTCACACACTTACGCTTTGTGATTTTCTCGCTAGCACTTCACCTGCGGCTTTAGTTCAAGTGTAAAGAGTCAATGAATAACCGAGTTAGTGCTTTATTCATTGCATTTGCAGTTTTATATTTGCCTCTGGCTTGTGGCTTGTTTTGCTTCTTAAAATGGCGCCGTTTTCACTTTTGGTGCAGTCGCTGCTGCTGCTGCTTCTCTGCTTTGTTCGACGCCCGACGGACGGCAACGACAACGACGCAACGTTGCAATGCTTTTCTTTTCGCATGCAGCACATTCAATTTAGATTCACTCTTATGCTGCACGCGGGCAACGGGTGGGGGCGCGCGTCAATTTATTAATTTAATCTTAATTTGGCGCAACAACAAAAATCCAAGCAACCAAAAAATTTACGAACATAAATAAATAAAGAAATAGTGTTGGGTGCAGTGTGACCGCGGATTTATTGAATCTAGTATGTGTGTACAGCTGAGTGACCGTATACAAATAATCTCACCCATGCAATGAAATACTGAAATCGATAGAAGCTTTTTTCGAGCATATGATTTTCAGAAATATACCGTAAATATACCGATATAAAAACCGATTTTAATACACTTAACCCCCCACTATTTAAACAGGTGAATAATTTCCGTTGAACAGCGGAAAAAAACACTGTTTTTATATCTCTTGGCTTAAAAGTCATGAACACAATATCTTGAAATGAAAATGTAGTACCCACTAGTCAGCAAAGGGTTAATCGTTCTCTCTTCGTCATTGGAAATTATATTCCTCGATTACAACATATTACCAGCTAAGATCAATTTTTCCCAATTAATGAAATGAATCAACTTTTCACAAGATTGACTAATTTCCAAAACTATCTTTTTTTTTGAAGAATCGAATATATAAAATAATTTCTTAAAAATACTTAAAATACTAAAAAAGAGTGTGACCTAGAGGTGTGTTTACACTGGACACCCATATTTATTACAAAAATTCCATTAAAAAATATCACAGAAACTAAATCTCTTTCGCGTAAATTTCTTGTACACATATATTAACGAGCATGAGCGGAAAGCTAACAAAGGCAAGCAGCGCCTCCAGCAGCATGCTATACGGCTCCGTATACTCTGCGGAATCAATAAAAGTAATTGCCGAGAGCATTGGCGTGGGCACCTTGTCGGACGATGCGGCCAAGGAGCTGGGCGAAGACATATCCATCAAGCTGAAGCGCATTGTCCAAGATGCGGCCAAGTTCAGTAACCATGCCAAGCGGCAGAAGATCCTGATCAGCGACATTGACATGTCACTGAAGGTGCGCAATGTGGAGCCGCAGTATGGATTTGTGTCCAAGGATAACATTCCCTTTCGCTTCGCCACGGGCGGCGGTCGCGAGCTGCACTTCACCGAGGACAAAGAGATCGATTTGAGTGAAATCACAGCCAACAACGCGGTGAAGATACCACTGGACACAACCCTACGCTCCCACTGGTTTGTGGTGGAGGGCATACAGCCCACGGTGCCGGAGAATCCGCCGCCACTCTCGAAAGACTCACAGTTCGTGGACTCGGTCAATCCAGTGATCAAACTGGACCAAGGCCTGAACAAGGATGCTGCCGGAAAGCCAACCACTGGAAAGATTCACAAGCTCAAGAACGTGGAGACCATCCACGTCAAGCAGCTGGCCACGCACGAGCTGTCCGTGGAGCAGCAGTTGTACTACAAAGAGATCACCGAGGCCTGCGTCGGCTCCGATGAGCCACGCCGCGGCGAGGCCCTGCAGTCGTTGGGCTCTGATCCTGGCCTGCACGAGATGCTGCCTCGCATGTGCACTTTCATAGCCGAGGGCGTCAAGGTTAATGTGGTGCAGAACAATCTGGCTCTGCTCATCTATCTGATGCGCATGGTGCGTGCCCTTCTGGACAATCCATCCCTCTTCCTGGAGAAATACGTAAGAAGTCCGCGAGACAGCTCTATTCCATGTCTAATCTCTTGCCTTTATCGTTGATAGCTTCATGAACTAATACCCTCGGTGATGACCTGCATTGTGTCCAAGCAGCTTTGCATGCGCCCCGAGCTGGACAACCACTGGGCATTGCGTGACTTCGCCTCCCGCCTGATGGCCCAGATCTGCAAGACCTTCAACACATTGACCAACAATCTGCAGACCCGTGTGACGCGGTAGGTATTCAGTATTTCCTTGATCGAGACACACATTAATTCCCTTTTCCCCTCGACAGCATCTTCAGCAAGGCTCTGCAGAACGATAAGACACATCTGTCGTCGCTGTACGGCTCGATTGCGGGCTTGTCGGAACTGGGAGGGGAGGTCATCAAGGTGTTTATCATACCGCGGCTCGCATTCATCTCGGAACGCATCGAGCCCCACCTGCTGGGCACCTCCATCAGCAACACGGACAAGACTGCCGCGGGACACATACGCGCAATGCTTCAGAAATGCTGCCCCCCGATACTGAAGCAAATGCGTCCGCACCCAGACATAGCCGACGAGTACAAATCGGACTTTGGCTTTCTGGGTCCGTCGCTATGTCAGGCCGTGGTGAAGGCACGCAACGCTCCGGCCAACATGGTCACGATCTCCTCGAACACCATTAACACGGCGCCCATCACGAGTGCCGCTCAGACCGCCACTGCGATTGGACGTGTCACAATCCCCAGCTCGCAACGTCAAGGGTATAGCAATAAAAAGAGCTCTCAATGTGTCCCATCTTATTCCCCGATCTTCTTCCCGACAGAAGCCCTGTAGTCTCGACCCTGCCTCAGATACGCGCCCTTCAGTCCAATCAGCAGCCACAAAAGTTCGTTATAGTCACACAGAACGCACAGCAGCAGCAATCCCAGCAGGCAAAAGTGGTGCGCAGGGGCAGCTCGCCGCATAGTGTGGTCCTGTCGGCCGCCTCCATTGCGGCGAACACTTCCAATTCGAACTCCTCCTCGGGCAGCGGCAACGTCAGCAACCTGAACAGTGGCGGCAGCCTGCTCTCCTCGCGGAGTAACGACAATGTGTGTGTTAGTGGAGATGGCGAAGGCCAAGAGTTGTCGGGTATAACAGTTGATTCTTTTTAGAGCACCCTAGATGCCAACTCGCTGATCATCGAGACGGAAATTGTGCGCGCTCCGCCCGAACTGGACGATCTGACCCATCTCGAGTGACACACAACCAATCACGAGTCCCATTCATAGTCGTTCATAGAAATTCATTTTAGAGACCCTAATAAAAGTACTTTAAACATTAGACCGAAGCTTTGTAGTGCAACCTACCCCAAAAAAAAGCGCCACGCATGCAGCACGCAGAACGCATGTGCGGAATGTCAGTCAAGTGGCAGGCTATTGATTTTTCCACCACTCACAGTCCAGAGGTATACACGCACAAAGAGCGCTCTGCGGGAAAGAGAGCATACACAACTCATTTGTAGATACCCATCGCAGGACAAAGGCAAAGCTCAGGCCAGCACCAGCAGCAGTAGCAGCAGCAGCACCAGCAGCAGTAGCAGGGGATTTCTTGGAATTTTTGTACAGGAATTTTGACATTAATAGCAGAGCAGAATGCATGCCAGATTTGCCGATTCCGATCCCGCGTCCCCGGACAGCGGTGACCGCATTGAAACGGAGACCCTGGAGTATCGCATCGAGGTGTTCAAACAGAATCCCAAGAACATGGCCGCACTGCACGAGATGCTCGATGAGGTGGTGCTGCGCGCTGAAACGGAGGCCAACAAGCGGGCTTTCGATGGCCAGAAATCGCAACAGGTTAGCTAATCAATCCACTTAATCCTTTATTGGTGCATATTTTTTGCTGTAAAACTAATGCTGGATATTCGTGCTGTCACGTTGCAGGGCAAGGAGAAGCGTCCGAGTAAGTACACATTACGCATTCAAGAATTGAACGAATCCCCTTGCTTTTTATGGGAACGTAAACTTGCTGGGATCCACCTCTGACATGCATTTGGTTGTATAGAAGATCTTTTCACACGAATCCTTGTACGGTTTCTCTGTGAAAACAAAGAGAAAAGTGTATGCCAGAGAGACCTTCAGATCTCGCCTTGAAGCGGTTCCATTCAATGGCACTTACGCGCATCCCTGCATGCGTCTACGGACGCCCTGCCAGCCTCCAGCATTTCCGGCGGCAAGATGATTGGCAGCTGGGCATATGCTTTGGCGGCGCTGAACTCTCCCTTCTTGGTCACCGTGCCCGCCATCTGGGCAATGCACCTGGTATAGCACTGCAAGGGCACAGACATCACAGTGGGACTTACGTGGGGTGGGGTCTATTCCGTCCTTGACTCACCATCAAGTCCTGCGTGTGCTCCATACTGAAGTCCGCTGCGCGGATTCGATCCAATGTTTCGGTGGTCACCTTAAACTTGGGCTGACAGGCGCCGCGCAGCATGTCCATCGACTGCATCATCTGTTCCATGGTCACGGCCAGTCCTTGGTGCGGCAGCAGCCCGAGCAGCAGCTCCATTTGCAGGACGATGGCCAAAACCAGAGACGAGCTGTGTTTACAGTGCTTCATGATGCCAAAAAAAAAAACAATGACTCGCCTTTCCCGCTGGCTGGGGCCTTTATATGTGCGCACATTGGAGGATGGAGATGGGGCATGGGGCATGGGGCAGGGCAGGCTAACCTGGGGACAGGTGACCGGGTGGACCAGCAGGTGGTAATTAAGCGGAGCTTCTAATTAAAACACGCTTTCGCACGTAATACTCCCGATTCCATTGCATTCTCCTGTTCCGTAGTTATTTCTGTTCGATCGCATGCGATTTGTGCACTTTATTCCGTACTTTACTTTGGCCTCCCACACTCATCTTTGGTTATTTGCTTCTCGAATGCTTCTTGCACTAATCGGTCAGGTTTCGCCATACCAGATTTTAAGAACGGCAAGGTGGTGAATCGTGCTCGAGGATTTGTGGTGCGCATCTTCGATGCCATCTGCAATTGCGCCAACACCAATGCGGCCGCAGCCACGACGCGCTTCAAGCTGAGAAGCAACAGCGGTGGAGCAGCAGGAGCAGCGGGAGGAGGAGCTTCGTCTGGTAATGGTAAGCGCCAGCAATCCCAGGACGAACCGGAGACCCTGGCCCTAACCAAGAAGAAGCCTTCGGCCGAGGGCAAAAAGAAGAAGGGCGTCAGCATGGCCGATGATGTCCAGGCGGGCGTACGACTAATGGACTAGGCAAGCAATAATCCAATCTTGGAATACATATAATCAAAAGGAGTGGGCCAGTTCTGTATCCCCAAAGAGCGAACCCTTCATAAGGGATATCAATTATGTATCATCCTGATCACAGTCCTCCCCCAACTTTACACCAAATATCGTTTATACACTTACATATACATATATACTCTTTCTAATGGGCTATTCCCAAATGATTTCCTTTGCTCAAAATCGACAAACGCACAACAACAATTTGATACTGTCTTCCCCCTGAAGACCAAAGTCGTAGAATCGTATAAGATGTAGTGGGAAGCTTTAGCTTTCTTTTATTTTTGTTATCATTTCGTAAACCCAAATGTGATCCCAAAGATACAAAACCACACGATGAGCACAAGCAATGTTTTAGGGAGTAAGGGAAGACAAGGTCTATATAGTCTACATATATGGTCGGGTCTCTACGCCCTCTTAACTCTCGAAACGATAACGTTCTCGTTCTCCCACGCACAACACAATCAAATGTAGGCATGGCATTGCATTGCATTGCATAATACAAGTAATAATAATAGCGAAAGTATCAGATCAGAAGAGAAAAAACACTACAATGTCAGGTTTAACAACAGGTCTCTGTCAGCACTCCACCTAATTATAACTGTACTGTAGGATAAGTACGAGTATATTAAATTATATACCAATATACTATACCTATTTAGAGTGTGTTTACGTGTGTTTTTGTTTGGTTTTTGTAGCAAAAAAAACCCAAACCAAACAAAGGGTTCTTTAATAAATATACAAACATAAATGTGTACTGATTTTATATATGTATAAAGAAAAAACATATACATAGTAACTACTAACTTTCAAACCGAAGAGTCATTTCACAGGTTTCCTTAATCGCCCATAACCTACACGCTCTATATACACATGCATATGTATATTTTTGTGAGGACCCTTTTTGGAAGAGATTGATCTATCTATGTACAACCCACTCTAGGACCCCCAACTAAAGAAATAACTAGCGAGAGAACTTTGTATGTACTTGCAACAGGCAATAGTTTTGTATAAGATTTTGCATTTATTTTGTAATCACCCGAAATGCAAAGACCTCCCCCTCCACTCCACTCCCCTTCCCATCCCACCCATAGTTTGAATTTGTGGCTAAAAACAATTGAATATCCATCTACTATACATTATAAAATGTGCATAAGGCAAAGAGAAATGTTGTATTTAGTTAAACAAAAATATCAGCAATAAAATGTGTAACAAACGAATTCGAATTGGGACTATGCAGATCGCATCTCTGGGATAACCGACCCTACCATATAGGGATAGGGGTACGAGCCTTGGCCTCTTCTCCGCTCAATTGTATGCATCAGAAGTGCAACGCATTTGCCCACCAAGTTTTTTGCGATTCCGGTTGTGGCCTTTAATTGACTTATCCATTGTGTTGATGTACAGCCGTCAAAATGCAATTAAATATGGGTTCTAAGTGGCAAATCTATTTATATAGACAAATATTGCTTTTATGGAATCAAAACTCACCGAACCGCATCATTAGCCATGCACATCACGTTTTTCCCAGTTGGATCCCCCATGGGCTTCGTCATCGGATGTGCTCTGCTCCCAAGTGCTGGCGCAATGGCTACATTGAGATAACATTCAAAATTGGGTCTAAGCTCATAAGCATTAAAGGGGGGACCGGCATGGCAGTGGCCGGTCCTCTCCCTTTCAAAGATAAGCCAGTTGCAAAAAGCACAAATTGTTTAAGCAGATTACGAGTACATTGCATGTAGTTGTAGTATATAAATGTCAGTGCTGGGATCTTGGCGAGTAAACATGTTTCGAGCTCGGCTTTAAAGTACGCGACTTGCCTGATCGGCTCATCATTATAGTAGCTAGGAAAACCCAAAAGCGTCAACGCCACGAACAAGCGAACAAGTGCAATATCATCCGTCCGTCCCTCTGTCCAGACCAGTCCACAAGGTGAACGGCAGGCGAGAGTTGATCTGAGCTCGCTCTCGGCTCCCATATCGAAGCCGAAGCTCGTCCAGAGAACTACACAACGGCAGAACGGATTTGACTATCAACGGAAGCGCCACGCGATTAAGCATTGAGCAAAATTTCGAAAAATTCCTCACGATGATGCCACCGCAGTGGATGTTCTTGGCTCTTCTGGGCTTCGGCTTCGGCTGCCAGCAGATCCTCGCCAAGACTTACTCCAGCGACTACCTAGGCAAGAGCACATGGATTAATGGATAGATAATCAGTCTTAATCTTGACCGCACTACGATCATCTCACAGATCTTCTCGACTTGAACGACAACGACGAATTCCAATGGGGCGCGTCCGAGAATCAGCTGCAAAGCAATCACAGTGCGTTTAATTTTCTGTCGCGACATCGTCTCCAGAAGCGTCAGGCACCGGATGGGGACAGTGAAGGTGGCTCCCAGCTGCTGGTGAGTAATCAGCTTCCAAGGTTACCCTTCTGCAAGCACCAATCTCTTGCAGGAGAACAAGGATTACGGCCCCTGCAGTACACCGCTGGGTGAGTCGGGACGCTGCCGCCACATCATCTACTGTCGCATGCCGGAGCTCAAGGACGACGTGTGGCGTCTGGTCTCTCAGTTGTGCATCATTGAAAAAAGGTGAGACTCGTCTGCGATCTGTCCCAAACCTGCCCTGCTCTAATCCCCAATCCAATGCGTGACAGTTCCATTGGCATTTGTTGCACTGAGCAGGCGAGCAACTCCCACCAAAGCCCGCAGGTCGTATCCAATCCCGACCAGGAGGAGCCCCGCATTGTGAATCGACCGGAGCAGCGGGGCTGTGGCATCACCACAAGGCAGTTTCCAAGACTTTCGGGTGGACGACCAGCCGAGCCAGACGAGTGGCCCTGGATGGCGGCCCTGCTCATCGAGGGCCAGCCCTTCGTGTGGTGCGGCGGAGTACTAATAACAGATCGCCACGTCCTCACCGCCGCCCATTGCATCCACAGAAAGAAAAAGGAGGAGATATTCGTGAGACTCGGGGAGTACAACACTCACCAGCTGAATGAGACGCGTGCCAGGGATTTCCGTATTGCCAATATGGTTATCCACATCGATTACGATCCGCTGACCTACGAGAATGACATTGCCCTCATTAGGATCGACCGGGCCACGCTGTTCAACACGTACATCTGGCCAATTTGCATGCCGCCGGTTAGCGAGAACTGGGCTGGACGCAGCGCCATTGTCACGGGCTGGGGCACTCAGAAGCTGGGTGGGCCGCACTCCAACATCCTCATGGAGGTGGGTACCCCAAACACTCTCCAAATCTCCTAAAGCTCTTAAGCTAATACGATTAATTTAGGTCAATCTGCCCGTGTGGAAGCAGTCGGACTGCAGGGCTGCCATGACACAGCGTATTTCGGATACAGTACTTTGTGCCGGCCTGCCGGAGGGTGGTCAGGACTCCTGTCAGGGCGATAGCGGCGGGCCGCTGCTAGTGCAGCTGCCCAACCAGCGCTGGGTCACCATCGGCATTGTGTCGTGGGGCAACGGCTGTGGCGAGCCTCGCCATCCCGGTGTCTACACGCGCGTCGATCGCTACCTCGACTGGATCCTGTCCAATGCGGATGTATAGATGCGATTTATGTACATTGGCTTAGGTTTAGCAAATGCTTTTGTATTGTCTACATACACTAATTAACCTGATATCGATGTCAATACAACGATGCAACCCCCAACCCCTAAGCTATGACTACGATTAAGGCCTGAAAGGCATGGCGCTGGATGCACTGGCCGCGCTGGACACCTTTTCGAGGGGCTCCTGATCCGGCGCCGGCAATACTTGGGCCTCGGCCTCGTTTTTGGTGGGTTCGGAGAAGGCGATGTTGTAGACATCCTCGTAGTTGGCCGCAAAGTGAACCTCCAGGCCTTCGGTTATGAACTTGGGCAACTCCTCGAAGTCCTTCTTGTTGTCCGCGGGCAGGATGAGACAGTTGACGCCACTGCGACGTGCCTGAAAGTGGAGATAGCATATTGAATCAAGCTGCATTCTCAATGAACACGCATCTGCTTACGGCTATGGCCTTCTCCTTGATTCCTCCTACGGGCAGAACCTTGCCCTTCAGCGATATCTCGCCCGTCATGGCCACATCCTTACGCACAGGCTTGTTGGTGGCCAACGAAATTAAGGCTGTGATTATGGTGACTCCAGCACTGGGTCCATCCTTTGGTACGGCCCCCTCAGGAACGTGCAGGTGAATGTTTCTATAATGGAAAAAAGGCAAATAGAATGAGAAAGTCCAACGAGTAGCTTCTACGGAGACTCTTACTCCAGCTCCAGGTACTGGTTGTCAGGATAGCGAATTTGAATAAAGTTACGGGCAACCGTAAGGGCTATTTGGGCCGATTCCTTCATCACATCCCCAAGGTTTCCGGTGATATACAAAGTGCCAACTCTGCCCACACCGCTGGCTTCTGATTTGGGGCCCTGGCTTTTCTGTTTGTTCCGTGGCGATGTCTCAATGTACAGCGATGAGCCACCCATGGCCGTCCAGGCTAGGCCCATGACCACGCCCGGCGGCGTCGTCTCGTACATGCGATCCGAGGTAAAGATCTGCTTGCCCAGGAATGTGGTCAGGTTTTCGGCATCCACTGGGAAGTTGGTGCCCTCCTTCTTGACCAAAAGGAAGGCCACTTTGCGAATGACCTTCTCGATCTGCTTCTGCAAGTTACGCACTCCGGACTCGCGGCAATAGCTGCGTATCAGCATATTCAGGGCTTTCTCGGTTATGCTGATATGCTCGTCGGTCAGGCCACAGTCGTTCATCGACTGCGGTATCAGATACTGACGGGCAATGGCCACCTTCTCCTCGGCCACATAGCCGGACATCTCAATCAGCTCCATGCGATCCCTCAGCGGCTCTGGTATGGTATCGATCACGTTGGCCGTGCAAATGAATAGCACACGCGACAGATCGATTGGCACGTCCAGATAGTGGTCCAGGAAATTGGCATTCTGCTCGGGATCGAGTAGCTCTAACAGCGCCGAGCTGGGATCTCCCTGATAGCCCCTGTGGATAGGGAGATTACGAGTATTTTTCGCCACGAAATTGAATCAAGTATTCGTGCCACCCACTTGCCAATCTTGTCCACCTCATCAATGAGCACTAGAGGGTTTTCCGTCTTAGTCTTTTTCAAGCACTGTATCAGCTTGCCAGGCATTGCGCCTACGTAGGTGCGACGATGTCCCTTGATCTCAGCCACATCCGTCATGCCGCCCACACTGAAGCGGAAGTACTCACGATTCAGGGCCCGAGCAATGGACTTGGCTATACTCGTCTTGCCCACACCAGGCGGTCCATGGAAGCACAGGATCTTGCCCTGCGTGCTGCCCTTCAGAGAACTGACGGCGATAAACTCTAGAATGCGCTTCTTGATATCCTCCATTCCGTAGTGATCGTGGTTTAGGATCTCGTTGGCTTTGTCCAGGCAGAGATTCTCAGTGCTAATGACGCCCCAGGGTAGCGAGGTGAGCCAGTCGAGGTAGTTGCGGGTTACACTGTAATTAACAGGAGAGAAACGACATTAGGATGATGTTAAGGAGCTCTCTGAATGGATCGATCTCTTGCTTACTTAAATTCAGAGCTATGACTCTCCAGGAAGTTCAGTTTGGTCAGTTCCTCATCGATGACCTGCTTAATACTTTCTGGAACGATTTTGTCTTTGAGTTTTTCCATATACTTTTCACCGATGGCATCCTTGTCGTCTTTCTCAATGCCCAGCTCCTTTTTGATAACCTTCAGCTGTTCCTGCAGTATGTATTTTCGGTGCTGCTGCTTGACTTTTTCCTCTACCTCGCGTCCAATTTTCGCTTGCAGTCTCGATAGCTCCTGCTCCTTTTTGAGCAATGTCAGGGACAGTTGCAGGCGTTTTGGGATCTATAAAAGAAAAATGTATTATCATACAAGAGAAATCTGTAGCATCAATGAATGCCACATATGTACATCTTCTTCCTCTAGGATATTTTGCAGCTCCTCTGGGTCTCCGGACGACAGGGAGGCACCCAAGTCGCATAGGTAGATGGGGTTGTCCACAACTCGTTGATTCTGATGCAGCATTTGATGGAGACTCTCCCTAAGGGAAAGAGAGTTAAGCAGGAAGATTCTTGGGGTATTGTATGGCTTACCTATACAGGGGATTCATGGTGATGATGTCGCGTAGAGTCTTGATAATCTCTTGTGTTAGCGCCTTGACTTCTGGGGTTTGTTTGTAAACCGGTAGCTTCACATTCTCCACCTCTACAATGAGCACAGGCGGTGATCCGGAAGGTGCAGCAGACTCGGCACCGGACTCTGCATCGGGGGTAGCTGATGTACTCGCTTCGGCATCGAGGGCGGCTTTGGCTGCCGCTTTGATAGCTTTAAATTTCTCTGAGATATGCGAACGCTGTTTCAATTCAAATTCGTCCATTGGGTTTGTGGTGTCAGCGTCAGCGTCAGCGGCAGCTGCAGTCTCTTGTAATTTTTGCTTAATTGCGCGACGCGTTTTACGGCGTTCACTGGACGACTGTGACGTTGTCGATGATTTGTTGTTTGTTGTTTGATCTTCAGCTGGGATGTGTAATTTAATATTAAATAGTGGATAATGCAAAGTTGTCATTTTCACTAAGATCAAGAACATTTGTCACAATTTGTATGGGCTTAGTGTGTGTCTGTAGGTGCTTACCTGGCTTTTTTGGATTCGGCAGATCCTCGACCACCTGTCCTGTGATGCGTATGCGACGATGGGCCAGCACCACAAGGCGCATCCTGTCGCCCAAATCCTGAATCTCTTGGATCTGTGCAAAAGTGCCCAGGTGATAGACCTCGTCCAGATTCTGGACGACCTCCTCTTCCCCGTCGACTTTCTTGAGGAAAACCCCAACGTAGGGCTGATTAAGGCTAACTTTGCGACGCAGCAGATCCATAACAATTGGGTTGGACACCTGAAACATAAGTTGAGTCATGGTGAAGACCACTGGAATTTGACATCTGTCCCAGCATTCGCACTCACCTCCACAATCTTCATGAAGCGCGGAAACAAGGGATTCTTCCGCATGGCCAGCAGCGGAACATGTGGCCATACGTCGGGCACCACCACTGTGGCAGGCAGGTGGGAGTCTCGCTCGGACGGACCTTCTGGTCCCGCTGGCGCTTTCTTGTCGTCGGGATCGTCGCGTCGGCGACTGTAGAAACGCTGAGCCATCACCATTGTCGCGCCATTGAATCTCTCGAGGCGAGTAACTTTATCACTAAAATATTTAGACAAGGCACTTTGTCCCGGGCGAATGCGAGTCCATGCGACTGTCGTGGACAGGGCGCGCATTAGGTGCCGCCCTCGTACAGCGTGAGATATCATTTCTAACCAGCTCGAGAATCAGTAATATTAGAAAAACAACAGAATGATTATGTGACAGGCTGATGAAATAAACCGGAGGTAGTGCTGTGAAGTGAACTAAAATGAAAATATCATATCAAAAGTCAAAAATATCACCCATATCGATATATCGATATAATATCAACAATGAAGTTCGGAGCTGCAAAAATATTCGTTTCGTTGTAAAAAGTTGTGTTTGATTGCATTTAACAATGGTTTCGCGTTTCGATCAGCAAAAGACCAAGCACCAGCTCTTCCATGTGTCCCTCAGCCTGGCCACCATATTGATATGCATGACATACATGCAGTACCGCCGCAACTGGGCCTATCTCGGCAACTTCTGGGACTCACTGGTGGTTCCAATTGTCTTCATCGGCGAGCTGCTGAAAGTCGTGCTGGCCCGTTTCTATGGGCGCATTGAGGATGGTGTGCTGACGGTCAAGCAGCGGCAAAAGAAGGCGGCATATTTCACGGCACGCGAGCTCGCGGGAGGATTCACGCTGCAGTTCCTGTGCACGCTGCTGTATGCCTTCAGCTGCATCATTTTTGGTGCACCGGTACTGGGCAACTACGAGGAGACCTTTGTCCTTTCCCTGCTGATGACACTGCTGACGGTGTCGCCCACGGTGTTCCTCTTGGGCGGCGGCGGTGCCCTGCAAGTGTGCTTCTGCGAGAAACCGGACTTTGTGACCAAGTGCGAGGAGACGGCCCTGAATCTGTTCAAGTACAATGCCCTGGGTGGCATCCTGGGGGCCTGGGCTGGCAGTGTTGTGGCCCCCCTGGACTGGGGACGCGACTGGCAGGTATATCCGATACCAAACATCATCGGAGCTCTGCTGGGCAGCGCCATGGGCAATATTTATGCCTGTACGCATGTCCTTTATGCCACGGCCCGCGTGTACATGACCAAAAAACGTGCTTAAAAACAATAACAATAAATGCTATTAATCCTGCCACCAGATTATTACGTTGCGCTGCCACAACTCCGACATCCACAACCACACACTGATCTGATTCCGATACACGTCATCATCTCTCTCTAGTCAGCAGCTTAAGAACTACCAAAAAGCAATTAACATACTTTAATGTTACATGTTTAAGCATTTTATTAGAGTGTAATATGAATGAATTCTTTTTTAAATCAATCAACTAATAAACTAACAAATCATTAATTTAATCACAAGCGACAAAGACACAAAGGTTCCCTTCCGTTCCCGCCCATCGATCGAACGAACCCCAACTGAAGCGTTCCGATATTGATTTTAAGGATTACAAAATGAATGGAAAATGCTTTCGGTTTAAAGCCTCAGTAACCTCCTTCAACAAATAAACCACAAATTGAAGACAAAACTGTTTCTCGTAAGAGCATGATCATCATAGACGATCCGACACAAAACATATTTAACACATCGTGAGTTAGAAACTAGAGAAAATTGTAGGACAAATCTTAGCCCTTGGCAGCCAGCACAAAGCTCTCGTCCTCCAGCAGGCAACGTTGGCCCACATAGTTCTCATTGGGCTCCCAATAGTCCTCGTCCTCATCATCGGCCAGCGGCTCGCTGGCCTTCTCATTGCTGGGCGCCACCTCAGGCAGCTGAAACTCTCGATGTTTGTTGGGGGCATTGTCCGAGGACAGGCGCCTGCGAAGCATTGCCTCGGCCGCCGTGGCTGGACAGTGGCTTGTCTCGTAGAGTTTGTACAGCTTGACGAAATGCAAGCCACTGGCAAGCCGAGGTCCGCCCTCCTTGGCCACTATGGCACTCCAGCTGAGAGCCATCGTGGCGTGGGGCACATACCCCGCAATGCTGGCGTTGAACTCCTCTGTGCTGATGCTGGTATTGAAGAACACGGTCTCCTCGTTGGTGAGGAAGCTGTGCGGATCGTCCAGCGACGGCATGTGCTGCTCCACCTGCTGTGCATGCTGCGCAGGCATAATCTTCAAATGGGAGAGCCGGGTCTGCAGCAGAGTTTTAATCGTGGGAATGTCGTTAAAGTGTTCCTTCTGGGCCTTCTCCTGCAGGCGGAACTGCAGGCTGCAGAATTTGGAAGACCTGAGGCACTGTCCACCCGCCTGTCCCGCACTGACTCCCATACTGTCCATAACTGCAATACAAGGAAGTCAACCATCAGGAAGGTGTCATTGTTAAGCCCCTTCCCCCACTTACTGTACAACTTCTCTGGATTCAGATCGTATTCCTTGGAGTACAAGGACAACGTGTTGACGTACACTTCGGTCGCCTGAGCTGCGTGCTGATTCCGCAGGTTCAGCTCCAGACCCAGTTCGTTGGTCACTGCGTTGCTCACGAAGCACGTGGAGTCCGCTTGCAGGCAGCTCTCCACCTGCAGGTGCCAGATGTGACGAACCAGCCGATACTTGATGGGGGAATTGGCACCCACTGGCAATGAATAGTAGAAGAGCAAGCGCAGCGTGAAGGGTCCATCCTGGTGGGGTGCCTGCAGCCACATGGAAATGGTATGGCCCTGCTGTGCCTCCAAGGCCGCCTGGCCAGGACGTTGAAGCAGCCGGAATACACGCTGCCCGCGGATTTCCTTGTCCTTGACGAGCTTATCATTGGACAGATCACGTAAAGCTGTACAGAAAACAGTACTCATTAATCGTAAATATACAAAACGGCATTCGATTCCATTCAATTTACGTACAGCTCTTCATGGCCAGCGGCATTTGGTGGTGCTGCTCTGACTGCAGCGACAAGCAGCGCGGCGTGTCACAGCCCAGATAAATCTCCTCAATGGGGGCTATGCCCAGATTGCGTAGAGTAATGGAAACGGGGAGAATCTCACCAGCCAACAGCTGGGTGGGCACCGGACTGAAGCTAACACTCATGGCGGGCAATTGGGGGACCAATTTGAGGCTCAACCGGTTGTCCAGAACAGTCTGCGAGGATTGCTTGGCCGTGGCAGGCCGGATCATTTGCGTCTCAAACTGCAAGGAGCCGAGCAGACTGGCAGAGGGATCCGCCGTGGCTGCCACACGGCACACAACGCCCAGAATGAGGAGGCGTCCGGTAAGCTTCGGCGTTAGCTTGAAGTAAACGGTTTTCTCGGCCTGTTCGGCCAGCTCAAAAGATGCCACGCAGCTGGTCTTGATGGCCACTTGCACGGCTGCTTTGCTGGCGCTGTCTGCGGACTCCTCGTAAATGCAGGCATTCGACAGCACTTCCTCGTTGTCCAGGGTGAGTTTCCAGAGCAGATCGATCTCGGAGAGCGCTATGCTGCAGCGAACACTGTTCGAAAGGGTAACTGCCAGCTCAATGGGCTCCCCCTGCACAGCCACGGGCGTCTCCAGGGCCGGCTGCTGCTTGGTATACAAATATCTCGAGGGCTTAAACACAAACGGCTTATTGGAGGCAGCCGTGATCACCAGCATCTCCTCAATCTTGTTCCAAATGGACTCATCTGCCGTCAAATTGGAATTGATGTCGATGTTGGTGGCTGGCAGCTGCGGCGCCTGAGCTGAGGGCGATTGAACCAGGGTCAAGACGCGCACCGAAGATTGCACCAGCTGGGGCAAGGCATGCGGCAGTAGTCCCACCTCTGGACTACGTTTGAGTAGCTCCTGGAATACACAAATTGTCACTAAATCGGATCGGGATGATCGCTGCTGATTCCCACTCACATTCTGCGTCTGGATGTACTCCTTCAGGAAGCTGCTCTGCTGCGCGGAACTCTGCAGGCTGCCAGGACGCAAGAGGTGGGCAAAGGAACGACTGGCCTCATCGAGCTGCTTCAGCATATAGGCCTGTTTGGCCACCGTATACTGTATATGATCCTCGGCCAGGCTCCACTCACGCTTCTGGAACACCTGGTAGGCCTGGCGGTAGCAGCGATACGCGTGCTTTCGCTGTCCGGCACGAGAGTAGCGATTCCCAGCCAGGACAATGTGAAAGGCATACTTCCTGTGCATGGCCGGTTGGGTCACCAGAAAGCAGTAGGCCGCCTGCTCAAGCAGCAGGGCGGAACGAAGGTCCGACTCCTCGCTGGTCATGCGTATCAACTGCTTGGCCACGTCGCTATACAGACGCGCTGTCTTCAGGCACTCCATGCTGAGCAGCGTTGCCCGTGTGGCAAATGCCTGCAATCTGCAATCGAAAATCATATAAGAAATTGGTTTGATTTCGAAGGGAACACGAAAACCCACTTGCACACGGTCAGATAGCAGACAATGGCATCCTCCATGTAGTCGTAGGTTTTGCGGTGCGCTGTGCCCAGCATGAAGGCGGAAAGGGCAGCCATTTCGAGGGCACCCGCATAGTATTGCCAGGCCGAGTCCGCATTGAAGTCCCTCTTGGCCTGGTGGTAGGCCTGAAAGGCCAGATTATAGTGTCCAAACATAAAATAGAGATCGCCCAGCTTTCTCGTTTGCAGCTCCGCGGATTCGTTTGTATAGATGACTGCGTTTTGATTGTTTGCTCCTGCTCCCGGCTTGCTGGTGACGAACCAACGCTTCGTGGCACTCAGCAGGGACTTGCTCACTCCCTTCTTGTTGGTCACACCCTCGCTGAGAGTGGCCACCAGGTGCTCGATGTATGGTATCAGGGCACGCACCGCATAGTCCTGCACAAAGTGTCGCACGTTGTCAACGTCCCGCATGGTGAGACAGCCGCCGTGCGGTGCATCCGCCTCCAGATCGCTGGCCCACACATTGGGATTGATGGTCTGAGAGGCAATGCTCTCGCTGCTAATGCTGAACTTGGAGTTGATGGCCTCGGTGGCGCTCTCCTGCATTGGACTCAGGGGATGCAGCATGGTCAGGTCGCTCTCCTGGGCATTGACGCCCTCCAGCAGCTGGGACATCTGCATGGAGGGCATGCTGATGACCGACACCGCCTCCTGAGGGGATTTCGGGGCACTCAGGTCAGTGGAGGTCAGCGTGGCATCGCTCTTTGGCTGCCTCTTGATGTAGGACGCCCAGTAGTCCTGCACCTCTGCAGCAGCCTGGCCATCCAGCGAGTTTATGGACACTAGGAAGCACTTGCTGTCGCCAAAGGTTGACTTGAGCAGCTCAAATCCCTGCTGGGCCTTGGACAGATCCCCCTGGCTGGCCTCGTGCAGCACCACATAGCTGTTGAGTACTTCGTTGGGCTGGAACCACTTGGGCAGCTTCTGGGGCTGCATTTGCTGGATCCGCTGGGTCAGCTTGTGCGCAGTCTCTACAATTTGGGGATCGGCACTGGACAGCACCAGCAGGCAGCTGAGCAGGTGGCGGGTGAACTCATGCTCCGCTGGGAATTGCACAGTCAAGAACGTCTCGCGCCATTGTTCAAACCAAGGCTCCGACGTCGGCAACTCGAGGTCAATGTCCGCTGGGGGAGTAAGAGGGGAGGAGGGGGAGTAAGTGTCGAAGCCTTTTGGGTGTGTTGTCACTGCGTCCTCACCTATTGTAGCAACCTTGGTCTTGTCATTGTGGGCATTGGTAACCGATTCGTTGAGCATTCGGCGGGCCAAGACTGTTTGCGGCGGCCGCCAGTCCACATCGCAAAAGTTGAGCCGCAGTCCCCGCACAGAGACGCTCGTCCCAGAGACATCGCGAAAGTGTGCTGCGATACAGGAACGAGGGCAAAAATATTTTTCCAAAATTTCATATTGTTTACAACCACACCCCCCTCCCCAACGCAAATCCTCTTACCATCGTTGGGCAGTTTGGCGAAGGGCTGGAGGAGGTCCACAAAGGAAAGATTGTTGCGATGGCAGATGTCATCTGCCAGACTGCTGCTCAGCACGCCGATGAGCGGTGAGAAGATGTTCTTGATTATGTCGCGTGCATTGTAATTCTGGCCCGTCAAATGCAGCATTATTTATTTTATTGTCACTATTTTGCTCCAAATTGCACCCAATCGCACCTTGGAGCGTTTTATTTCGATATATCGAACCAGCTGATCCAGATCCGGAACCAGTCGACTCTAAGCATAGAGCGGCCACACTGAAGCGCGGGAAAGGCTGTCAGCTGTCACAATTCCGCAGAATTTTACACATCCAAATTGTACACAAAAAGCAATATTCATAAGATTAACAACGAAAAACTATTCACACTCAAATTCTTAACGTATTCGTCTAAACACGCTTTATTACATACGTCGTGTGTCGCCAGCTATTTCATCAGCGCACGCCATCCAAAAGAACCACCGCTTGCTGCATCTGAAAAAAGTCAGAAAGTCTCGCATAGTCCCCCAAAGAAAGAGAAGAGTCCCGAAAGTACAGTCATGGCCAAGGTGCACATCACGAATGTTGTGGTGCTGGACAACCCCAGCAGCTTCTTCAATCCCTTCCAGTTCGAGCTGACATTCGAGTGCATTGAGGAACTGAAGGAGGATCTTGAATGGAAAATGATTTACGTGGGCTCGGCCGAGTCCGAGGAGCATGACCAGGTATTGGACACCATCTACGTTGGCCCCGTGCCCGAGGGTCGTCACATATTCGTCTTCCAGGCCGATCCGCCAGATGTTAGCAAAATTCCGGAACAGGATGCCGTAGGCGTCACTATTGTGCTGTTAACGTGCTCGTATCGCGGGCAGGAGTTTGTGCGCGTCGGTTACTACGTGAACAATGACTATGGAGAACAGGAGATGCGAGAGAATCCGCCAACCAAGCCACTGTTCGACAAGCTAACGCGCAACATACTCGCCAGCAAGCCGCGCGTCACCCGCTTCAAGATCAACTGGGACTACGGCCACACCAACGGCAATGGCAATGGAGTGCCAGAGAACAACGGACACAGCTATGATATGATGATCGACGGTCCATCCACATCGCAGGCGGCCCAGACCTCTGCTCAGCAGCAGCAGGATGATGACAATAGCCTGGCCATGCCCATGGAGAACGGCATTAAGGCCCTCAACGAGAACTCAAATTCACTGGCAATGGAATGTTGAGAGGAGAGATTCTTTCTGGCAGTCCAACTGCAACACACACAAACACACACTTGAGTGGGCGCAGACTTGAAGGAAACTCCCCCCGCGCAACCTCAACCCCTTAATTAAGCAAATGATTAAATATATATGTATACATTAAATTTACTTACCTTATCTAAATTGTGACTTTTTTTTGTTGTGTAAAGAACTAGCAACCGTTTGTTTCTCTGTCACGTCTCGTTGTTCGATATAGCATTCGATTTCCATTATTTTCCATGAGAAAGCGAAAAAAGTATGTCAAAATCCAAAGTGAATCAGCAGGGGCTTCCCTACTCCTTCTCCTGCGCCACTCCCGGCGCCAGTCGGCTGCGGGCGATCTGGAGCAAGAAACAGGCGACCAGCAACAGGTGAGAGGCACAACACCAGGGCCACTCGTGGCGCCCCCCAATGATACCCCGTTCCCTTTCAGCTATTTCAACAGGTACGCACATCCGCTCTGCCCCAATCATTATGCCGCCAATCCACTGGACAAGCCCTATTATAACGAGTATTTGTGGAAGTCATGCAAGAAGCGCAGGTGCAGTGCGTTGCGCAGCAAGAACCGTGTGGATGTGGAGGCCGATTCCATAGGCGTTGCCGTGGGCATGGTCTGCTCCGAGTCGCAGATTGCAGGACCCCGGAGCTTAAAGGGCAGCCAGCACGACGAGATCAATTCGTGCAACTTTGCCACGTACCTGAAGGCCTTCGCCCTGGTGTACGTCCTGCCGGAAGTGGAGTGGACGGCGGATAAGATTGACATGCTGCTGCAGGAGGGCGTTGATCTGTTAGAGGCCAGCTCCGAGGGGAGTGAGGCGACTGCCGAGCGGAAGGAGGACGGCATGAACCCGCCACTTCTCCGGCCGCAGATCTACACGGATGCTGAGAATCGCATCAAGCGCAATTTCAGCCTGGAGGGTCACACCTTTACCCTGGCCCTAGAGTCGCGCTATCTGGGCGATCCGAGGCAGCCCATGGAAACGCAGCTGCCCCACACTATCGAGAACCTGCGCGACGTGCTGCAAACCTTCTTCCGCACTAGCCACTACTGCCTGCTGCTGACAAAGATGGGTCACCTGCTCATCTGGAAGCGGCGCAACGTGTTCTTCGTGCTGGATGTGCAGGGCAGACGCAAGAACGATCTGGTCAGCGACAAGGCGAAAGGCGTGGCCATGCTCGTCTGCCTGCACACCATCGACAATGTTTACTATCTGGTTAGCCAGCTCAGCGGCATCTCGCCAGAGGATGAGTTCACGCTGCGGGAGCTCGTGGTTGTCCGCCTGGTGACGCCCGACGGCACCCTCTATCTGAGGGACACTGTCCAGCGGGACATGGAGTTTGAGGTGATCAACAGCAACTACGCCTATCTGAAGGGGAATCTCCACTTGTCCCTCAACACGGCCGATCCTCTCCGCAGTCGCAGCAGCATAATGGTGGCGGTGGGCGCCATTATGGCCTCCAAAATCGACCATCCGGCCACCTGGAACCACACCATGTTCGATCGCCTCATCTGCTACGGCGTCGAGCTCTGTCGTAGCTGCTGGGGCGACCGTCTAGAGGAGCAGCGGCCCATCAACTTGGACGAGTTTCCCACACAGCTGCGTCTGGGCCAGTTTGTGGTGGAGCTGGAGCTGCTGCCCAATGTCCGGGCGGGAAACTGGCGGAGCGTGCTGCGAGTCGTGGGGACAGAATTTGACCATCACGTCCGCGAGACCCTGAAGGAGTTCGGCAATGCCATCTTTCAGATCAACAGCCAAATGTACGCCGTGTGGACCAAAGGCGACTTCTACTACCTGCTCGATGCGTACCGCCACACGATTGCCGACACGGCCGTGGAGAAGGACAAGGGAGCCTGGTCCACGGTGCGCATGTTCCGCGATCCCCTCACCATGATCAGTGTGTTCCACCAGCTGCTGAAGGAGTCCAACCGGCCGTCGCCCTACCACCTTCATGCGGTGCGCATCAAGAACCTGGCCGAATGCCCCAAGGGCTATGCCCTGGCCCCCCTGCCCGATGACGACGACACGGAGGTGCAGTCTATTAACGAGACGATCCTGTTTAACCAGCTCGCCACCAGCTCCGGTCACGTGCTGGCCGCCTTGAGTGACTACGAGGAGGACCTCTGCAGCCACACCGAGGACAACAGCGACATCGAGAACTTCGAGCTGCTGGACAACATCGACGACGATGAACCAGATTTCGACTGCGCTGAAGAGTGCGAAGATGAAGAGAGCGAAGGTGACGAGGATACGCAGGCCCGTAACGTAGGCCACAAGAAAAAGCCCAAAAAGGAGCAAAATGAGCTCAAAATCTCAAAATCAGTATCATTCATCGCAGTCCCGAAAAGCCAGCAGAAGGGGGGAGACCGGGAGAACTCGCGTTTAGCTTCCGGACAAACTCAGACCTTCTCTGCACCGAAGGCCAAGCCAGCCAGTGATGCGAAGGACCAGCGCCCATCTTCAGGAGAATGTCCGCACTTCTTGGCACCCAAGGAAAAGCCATGTAGCTGTCAGACTGACGTGCGGTCTGCACCTCCTGAAAGGACCGAGCACCACTCCGTACTGCCAGCAGAACAGTCCGTCACTGCTTCAGGAAGACCTCAGAGCTCTTCCAAGCTAACCAGCACAAAAAGGGATATAATGAAGCCTTCTGCGGGACCATCAAAAGATTTGGCGTCGTCCCTGGAGGAAATCAGGGCCACCCGTAAAGGCATAGTGAAGAACTCGGAGTTCGACTCCGAGCTAGATGGAAAGATGTCGTGTCCCAATCAACCCCTCAAGGTGGCGCGGTTCCAGGCCAAGACGTTTAAGCAGAAGACTTGCCAGCAATCCTGCTGGTGCATCGGCAGGAAAGGGAAGAGCCAGGAACCACCTGAAGCGAACAGCAAGCAAGCGTTTCAGGCGACAAGGTTTCCCGGCTTCTGTCGGGAGGCCCATATGCTGGCTGTGGCCGGGTCGGAGAGCGGCACTGTGGAGAGCCTCAAGCGTCTGCTCATCTCCTCCTTCCAGGCGGCCAATCGGGTGCTCACCATGACGCCCTGGGGCAACTATGTGGTCTTCAGAGTGCACACCAGCTCCGAGTCGGGATCGAGATTTTATGTCTTCGACGGCTGCACCTGCAACATTGATCGCTTCCGCCACTTGGATCTGTCGTGTGGCACGGCCGGACTGCTGCCATTTGGCAAATTGTCGCAAGTCGTTTGCCACATGATCGACTCGCGGGAGGTCAAGGCTTTGGATGCGCTGAGCACTCGTCTGGAGGCACCCTGCAGGAGATTCGAGCATCTATTGGCCCGCAATGCGTAGGACTCCTGCCAGCTGATAATTCAGTTTATAAATTATTTACAGCGTAATACAAATTTCAAGTGTGTTTAGATATCTGCCAAGTGCCCAACCAACGACAGGCGGTCAGTTTTTCAAGCAAAAATTCAAAAAGAGACTGCCGGAGAATCCAAAAATAAAATACACGGCAGAGCGGTTGTCGGGAGCAATTGGTAGCCCATTATCTGTCAAATCTATTAAGAAACGATTCTCTTTTACTGTAGAGTCTTCTGTTGTAGCGTTTCTTATTTGTTTTCCATTTATTATTATTGCTAATTCGTATGAGTCGTTAAATTTAAACTTAATATTGAGTACATTTACATAATGCAGAGAAATGTCGGCCCGGGTGGGACGACGACGCATCTTACGATAGCTAAACATCCAACTAGTGTATAAATATATATATGTAGAATATATATAATATATATATTAAGTGTATATAGTATTATTTTTAAATTTGTAATTCGTTTTGCAGCTGATGAACGCTTTCCAGAAAACAGAACAGTCCAGAACAGAGCACGAGGCCAAGTTTTAATCAATGGTTTTCCCATTTTCTGGAAAGCATTCATTGGCCGCGTCATAGCCGCGGTCAGATTTTTACCAGGATTTTCATTCAATATTCTTAGATTGTATTTTATTTTTCCCTTATTCTGTTGCTTTTATATTTTGCATTTTAAGGCACTGAAGCTTTGAATTTTGTGCATATCGAAAGAAAGATATTCTTTTGGATAACTCCTCGCTGCCACCATCCAAAAGCGCGACTACAAAATTATACAAATCGCTTCGAAAAAAACATGCTTCTTTCGAGAGTTCTTTAGCAAATTTCGTTTATATAAAAAATATCCCTGACTATTTTCGTCTTCATAATTCCCTTGCCCTTCTATCCATCTGTTTCCTATATAAGTAATTTTTTGCCTGAGGCCGATTCAATTATTTTGTTGCTTTGTAGGTTTTGTTGTTGGGTTTCGTTTTGTGGTTCAAGCTCTTGGGATCGAGAAAAAAAACTATGCTACGCCTAGGCCCTAGGATCTAAAATACATATACAATTAGGTAATTTTTTAAATATATTACAAAGGCAGCTCTCTCAAAGGTCAAATATCAACTAGGACTAATGCAAAAAAAAAAATTATATATTCAGCAACATAGGAAGTGCATGCGATACGAATACGACACGAAGAAAAGATTGCCCCTGACCCCGTAGAAATTTTCTGTTTGGTTTCGAGTGTGGGACGTGCATTCCGAAGCGATCAACGCACACACGGGCACAACATACACATACAAATAAATTATAGAGAGAGAGATAGATGATAGATAGATAGACGGATCTGGACGTGAACATAGATAATACCATTAAAAGTGGGGGGCGATTTCCCGGTTGAGTATATATATAGTAGAGATAGTTGTTGTACAGCGACCGTGTACAACTGGTTATGTTTAGGAGTTTTCTCGCTTAGGCTAGAACATATCGTACTAGGTTAGACCATGTTGACGGCGCCATCAGCCTCGAATGTGGGTATGGATATAATGTCGCTGCTGCGCACCGCCCCCATGGGTAGTGTGGAACCCTTGGCTTTGGCTTTGGCTTTGGCCTGATCAAAATCCAGATCCACCTCATCATCGTCGTCGCTGGAGCTGCTCGAATCGTCGTCGCCTTCCTCGGGCTCGCTGCAGCTGTTTGTGGAGGTGGATGTGTTTTGGGTTTGCTTCATGGCCGACGCTATATCCGTATTGCTCTCCAGCGTCGAGTGCTGGCTGGACGGCGAGTGACTGTACTCGGAGGTATTCTCCTCCTCGTCGGAGACAATGACCACATTGCGTTTGTGG